ATCATCGACAGGGGTTCGGCCATTTTTAAAACGTGAATGCCACACAAAAGTTTGTGCACGACCCATTGCGGACTCCCCAAATGCTTGCTTTAGCATTTCATAGGTTTCCGTAGCCGTTTTGGCGAGTCTTTGGCAAAATTTGATGCACACGCCATTCCGAAATCGCAGGAGGGTCGGTGTAATGCACTACCAAAACGCACGTAACTAAGAAACAAATGCTAATTCGATGATGCCGGCTGGCACACTGATTAACTATGAATGTAGGCCGCACCACCTGAAAGCAGAAGCTCGTACTACATCCGGTTCGTCCTCTATTGACACAGTCCAGAAACTTTCCGATCGCACCTCGTACGAGGTTCGATACGCCCGTACTCGGGGACGACATATCATATACATTATATTATTTCAATAAAATCTTCTCGGGAAATCAGCCGCGTTAACTGATTACCGTAGTAAACCGACGTTTCGGGAACCAACTCTGTCACCATCATCAGGGTTCTGATGTGACTGGATACCTCGGAAATCGCCTGTCCGGGATCAGTATTCATGTCCGAACCCAGGCTCAAGGAGCTAGGAGGCGAAATCATGGCCACAAGAAGAATCATCACGTACTTCATAAAACATTTAACAAAAATACAAACAAATCATTAAAGATCAGATTACATTTAACTGTGTTAAAACTTCATCAGTCGGCACTAGCCGTGGAGAGAGGTCATTTTATGATCACAATATGTAGAGGTCGCGCGAGAATTGGTGATACCTGCGCAAAGGACTGATTTTGGTCGTGTGAGTTGAACCCGTCCGAAGTACGCGCTGGAGGGGTGTCAGGTTCAGTTGGTTTGTAGCTCTAGCCGTGTTTAGTTCGGTGCGTCACCGCAGCTGACGCTGTGCGACCCCCACTACTACTGAACTCCCCTCTCACGGCTTACACATCGCGCATTTAGGTAACACCACTTCTCGCGCGACCTCTACAGTCTCTTAACAAACCCCAAGACGCACTAGAGTAAAGGAATTGAAATACACTGATCTATAATTTCGACTGTAGTTTTGTATGGGTGTGAAACTTGGTCTCTGACACTAAGGATCGAACGTAGACTGAATGTGTTAGAAACCAGGGTACTGAGGAGAATATTTTGAGCCAAGAAGTATGAATTACTAGGCGGCTGGAAAAATTTACATAATAAGTTGTACTCCTCGCCAAATATAATTACACTGATTAAGTCAAGGGGGCTGAGATGGGCAGGGCATGTAGCCCGCAAGGGAGAGAATAAAAGAGGTCACTAGGAAAACTTAGACGTAGGCGGGATAATAATATTAAAATGGGTGTTGGAGAAATGGGATGGAGTGGTATGGACTGAATTCATCTGGCTATGAATAGGAAACAGTGGCGGGATCTCGTGAATACGTAATGAAACTTCGGGTTTCATAAAATGTGTGAGCGACTGTTGGATTGTCAGAGAATTTTCCGGCCGGCGGGTGAATTAGTTGCTAAGTGACTTTAGAGGGTCTTAACTGGTTTGTGGATATGCGTTTTACTGCATTTCCTGCTTCTGATCTGTCCGTCAGGGCGCCAGTACTTAATTCGTAATCCTTCCCCGTTCACAGTAACGCGGCCCATCCATAATTATCCTCTCGTCTCACAAGTGGAGCGCTTGCTTCAGGGCTAGGTGATGCGGACACGATTATAGGCTATTTTCATATTTATTATTTAGTGTTCTGTCTGACGACAGGTCCATATGAACAGGATCCTTCATCCTTTTCTCGGACTGGGACCTGTTCATATACGTTCTTGGCAGATGATCCAGAAGTGGTTTGCCATTGCCTTCTTCTGTGTGTGAATGGAGTAATTGTTGGGATGCCACGGAGGAAAACTCCGTGTTGCCTAGACCACGGCCTTGTCCAACACAAGTTATAAATTCGGGCACCGCCGGGAATCGAACCCGAGACCCCAGGATTACAAGGCCAGCGTTCTAACCGCTAGACCACCGTGGTTATATATTACATATTACAACGCGCAAAATTATTTGGGGAAGTTGTGATTTTTCCAGCCAGCGTCAGGGACCACGGACGGTACATTGGATAGCACCGTTTTCAACCAGCGATTAAAAAGAGACACACATTGCATTATAAGTTTCTAGTGAATATACAGCGGAGTTGTACTGAGGGCGCGTATGTAAGATTCCACCTAATTTTTACATTTTTTCGCACAAGACAACAAATGAGGTATGTAAGCGGAACGAGTGGCCAGAATCTCGTATCTTAATCCGTAGATCTCTGGACGTCGCCATAAAGTGATCATCAGGGGCGGATACCTGCCCGGAGATCAATTGCTTTGTATTATTTGCAGTGTCTCAATAGGTTACGACAGTCACTTTCCACATACTTTGCAATTCATCTTTCAGATACCGCGCCACACCATATAACTTACGTAGTTGATAAATCGTCGTAGAGACAACCAAGAACAAATCGGTAGTAAATTATATTCACGAATTACCTAAAATCCAGGCGGCCATCTGTTATTCGCTTCAGGGTCTTCTGTCTTTCGGGCAGTGAACCCAGGGCAGATGAGGTGGACGGGACGAGATGCAAACAGGAAATCTGTATTTTAAAAGGAAAACATCACGGGTGGGTAGCAATGGAGAAGTGATATTTGAACCAACCAGATGGCTTACGGAACCCGAAGGTTCATA